GAAAAACTCAGAGCGGAAGCACTGTTGGTTTTTGGGTCTTGTAGTTTTTTTGACTCGCATTATAGTGTAGGCTTCAAGGAAAAAAACTACAAAATGGCGGCGCCGCGCCAGTACTGGATTTTTTTCTTTCTATTATATTTAATTTTTTTGGCATCAATCCTAGTTTTTTTTTTTAGTTATTATTGGTTTGCTCTCGCTTCCGTCTGCTCCCGTTAATGTTTAATCCTGTACCGTCCCAATCACGTGATCGTTACTAATACTGACTCCCATCCCACGGGAATCCCACGGGAATCCTGTGACCCGTGGGATTCCCGAAAAAATGTCAGTCTCTATTGCCTACCTGGAACGGGTGACAGTAGTTGATTAAACTTATGGCCCTCAAAATGGTATCAGTGCCCAGGTGCCCTATTTTTTTGTACTCACCGATACCGATACCACCATTTTAGTGCAGTATCGGGGCCCCGCCCGATACTGGTATCGTATCGGTGCAACACTAGTTAAAATATAGTAAAAATGCTCTCTGTTTTAGTTTTCCCATTAAGAAGTAACATTAATCTGTCATATAAATCAGATCTGTTAACAGTAAATTTTATTTCATTGTGATGATCGTTACCTGCTGCTAATGAAAACAACAAATGAACATTTTCAGATATGTCACGCATGTTAAGCCACACCTATGCAACATTTAGGCCTGTTGAGTAGAAATCCCTTAAATAGAATCACTCTGACAAAAGGAAGTAGCCAAAATGATCTACTTAGTTTTATAAATGTATTTTAGGTCATTTGAGGCATTATAATAAAAGATAAAACAACTGGCATACCTCCCCAATGGAGGCATGCCAGGTCCAGTTGTGTTTTCTGGACCTGGAGAAGCCATTCGACAGTGTCCCTTGTGGTTCCCTCTGGGGTGGACACTCCAGGTGTACAGAGTCGGTCCATATTGCCAGCATTATGTCGAACCTGTTCCGGTTGCGTTTTGGACTCCATCAGCTCTGACCTCAGTCAGAGGTCCTGTTCATAACCTTCATGGATTTTTGTGCATTTATAAGCACAGCCAAAGACCGGAGGGTGTCTAGTGTTTCTGTCCTTGCTTTATGTGAATGCTTCTGCTGGCTCACGTTTGAAGAAAGTTCCTGCCTCAAATGGAGGAGTTCAGGTACCTTGGGGACTTTTTGAGATCCCAGATATAAGTGGCTAAAATGAGTTTCTCTGCAGAGTAGCTAGAAACTACCCTAGAGATAGAATGAGGAGCTTGCTTATCCGGGAGAGGCTCAGAGCAGAGCCGCTTCTCCTCCACATCATGAGGAGTCAGATGAGATGGCTCGGACATCCTTTGTTTTGGATGCTACCTGGATGGCTCTTTTAGACATACTGTATCTCACCGCAAGGAGGCACAGAGGACGACCCAGCATATGATGCAGGGACTATATCTTTTGGCAATCCTAGGAGTGCCTCTGGCTTCGTTCGGCAGAGCTGGAGGAGGTTTCTTGAGAGAGGGAAGTCTCTGAGTCTCTACTGAGACTGTTCCCCCACGACTAAGTCCCAGATAAGCGTAATGGGCATATTATGCTTCTACAACCGCACACATCAAATGTTGCTTAGGTCAGTTTTGCTGGTATGCTTCTGCATCGTTGATCTGGAATTTCTAGGGACGCACAGCAGTTTCCTGGCCAAGTGCAAGGGGGAGCCTATTCGAGAACTCACCAGAACTTCGGCGGATGGTCACGAGAACTTCGGCGGCGCCGGCCGGAGTGTTTATTTCCCAAAACAATAATGGCACGTCTGCAAGATATCACGGTCACAGATGGATCTAGACTTGCTAGACATCGAAGAGGAACAAGTTCTGTTAATGGAGTTGGCAAAAAGACAGATTAACCTTTCGTCGTAGTTGTCCATTGTAGTTGTTCCTCGGTTTTGAAAATGGCGCGCCCCGGCACCGAATCGAGAAG